AGAGTCATACTTTAGTAACTACAAATCATATCTCAAAAATCATTTCAAACTAACAAGGTTGAAAAACACCTCAAATATGTGGAGTGAAATGTTTTCTTAACCTAGCACATATAGAATTTGGCCTTTGATGTTTTCGTTAATCGAGAAACAAAGTATAAACCGAGACCTATTTTGTGAAGTGTTTTCTTGTCGAGAATTCACACAAACTTTTGAATATTTGTTTTAGTCATTAAGGAATGTTCTTTGAGAGAATACTCATATGTCAAGAATTCAGTGGGAGTCTTATTGATCTTAAGAGTATTAGGAGTCAGTCGACAATAAACCTTTTAGTCATCAGTAGCACACTTTCTGAGGTTGATAACCTATCGTATTAAGTTGACACATTCTTGTTTCTTTGCACCTTCCATTTGAGTTGGCAATGCTTATGAGTTCTATGGTTCTCATTTGAATGCAAAAAGCAAAGAAAATTGGTCAGTGAAAGTACATTGATCAATATGCGTGAGCTGCTTATCAATACGGAAGCACTAGTAGGCCCGTGTGCTACCATAGGACAAGAAATTAAGAATAAGAAAAGTCCAGTCCTTGAAAGGAAAGCTAAATTTGAATTTGGTTTTATCCTAAACCTTATCTTATACTGTAGGTTGGAAATGATAGATTCACATAGATGGGAACGTGTACACCGTAAAATCTAGGTGGCAAAGTTTTCGCTCTAATTCATGAGAATAATTATGAGGAAACACTTTTGCTAGTAGATTTTAAAGATCTGATAAATATCATCATGGTTAGTGGTTGTTCTAATTGCATTCTCAAACTCACAATATGGTTACGACATCCCTCTTCATATTTCGAATTGTGAGAAATGGCAAAGAATTGTTTTAACCTCCAAGACATATATCTATAAGTTTTGAAAGGGTTTAAACACACATGTAAGTTATCCAATGAAGTTGTATAAGCTTAATAAATCTAGTTGAAGACTTATTGAAGCATCACGTAACAGAAATCCCTATTTCAGTGAGAAAGTCAAAGTTATTGATTTCTAGGAGTCTAGCTGATTTCTGGGTACATGTCAAAGCTAGTGGGAGCATAATTGTTATGTTAGTATTACTTGTTGACAATACTGTTTGTAGGAAACAAAGTTTTTCAATTTGAAAATTGCATGTTTGGGAATTGTTTCTCTATAATAGACTTAAGGGAGAGGTCATTCATACTTCTTTTCGAATCTAAAGGTTTAGATTGCATAGTTTAATAGAAGTTAGTCTTGGATATATATGAATATCATGTTGAAATGGTTCAACACAGGAAATATAATGTATGGAAATATTACAGCAAGAGACAGAACAAATATCACATCCTTATGTAAGACATAATGAATCGAGTCTCATATGTTTTAGTATAGGATCGATTACATATGCTATAATATTCACTCATTCTAATTTTTTCAAATGCTCAGAGCATTGTGAGAGAAAAGAACTAGAATTTTGTATGACTAAAGTTATTAAATAACAATCAAGAACATTCTAAGGTTATACCAAGAACTGGTTTCTTAGGGACAGTTAGAAATATGATATTTAATTTGGACTAACCATAGTGACCTGTTTTAGATTGAGATGGCTCTTGGTCAAAATTGATGGTCATATGGGAATATGGAAAACTTTCCATAATAGGAGTTGATTATTAAATCTACATGTGAGTTGGAAAATTTAATGCGAGAGAAGTGTTAAAGGAGTGTACCTTGAATTAGAACCTCATTTACTTTGGAATTATTTCTAGTAACAAAGTTCCAATGGAACATTTTGTAATATCGTTGGCTTAGTCTCTATGACTTTGAAGCCTCGACATCACAGAAGGTCAATGCTTGTAAGGTTAGAATTCCAATACATTTTAGATAGTGACAATAATTTGGAATTGTGAAATGAGCATGACTGGAATAATGTCAAGTCGATATGTTCACAAAGAAAGGACCATAGAGAGGCATAGTATGCATGTTCATAATATGACATGACCGATGCTTAATTCAAGTGGTTAACTGATTACTCGAAACATTATACAATAAATAAAGTGTTAATTATTATGGTGATTGAGTAATAAGAGTTTTATTTATATTCAATAACTTTGAGACCATGGTTAATTAGTTTATCATAGTGTTTCACTTTGCATGTTTTACTTTCTGAATAATTTGATTATTCGAAATTCCACAATCACTCATACTTTTAGAAGTAGGTAGCAAAATAAGAATGTCATGAATAGAATTGTAGATTGTCTATGGGGACTAGACATAGCAATAAGATTGCTACAATGTTCATGAGTACTTAGAAAATATGTTTTTGAGTATTGGATAAACCCACAATCAGAGAATCACTTCATGGATTTTATCACGAGTAATTCTGAGATGATAATATATTATATTCTTAAAACTGAGATATATGAGTTGTAATTTACAAGTCGGTTGTACATTGGTATTGTGAAAATGTATCAGTAACTTGATGTTATAAAACGTAGTTTCATGTACGATTTGATGAGTAAAAGAAAGAAGCATATGAGTAAAAGTTTATTTATTTCTTTTTCCTTAAGAGGAAAACCGATATCTTTGGGCCCCTCGATAATTTGATGTCGACATCTGAAGTGCTTGGACAAGCCTGGACTAAATTGATGTGTTCAATTAGCAGTCTAAATTCAGTCGTCATAAATTGGGAAATCGAGAAACATAATTTTGGATAATGAAATTGATTTCAGTCCATGGCTTGTGTCCATACGATATCTTGTAGAATGAAGGAATAATTGATCACTTATTTTAGGACATGTAATTGACTGAGTCAAAGTTAAACAACAACTTTTAAAAGCTACAATTTGCTGATCGGTTCAGAAGTTTATTGTAATTATAGTTATAGACTTATCCAAGTAGGAGACTGTTGAATTAGGTGTCTAAGCCCATTGCTATAATTGGCATATACTTGAATTAATGGTAGCGCAATCTTTTTGGGTTGCCCTCAAACCTGGTAATTGAATATGATAACTTTGAGAGAGAGAGAGAGACTGATTTATTAATTTATTATATGATTAATAAATTAAGGAGCCTTGGATGCCTTATGGAGGAAGTTAAAGGATTAGAGTTATCTTGGAGATACATGCCTTATCCAATACCTTCCTATCACCTATATAAACCCCTCTTGGGTTTATTTTTGTTTTCGACCTCATACCAAAAAGAGAATCCCAAAAGTTATTCTTCTTTTACTCTTTTCCTCTCTCTCTCTCTCTCTTTTTCTCTCTCTCTCTCTCTCTCTCTCTCTCTCTTTCTCTCTCTCTCTCTCTCTCTTCAAGTTTACTTGGTTGCTAGTGTTTGGATGTGAACCATTAGAATCATGACACTTGTGGTGCTAGCTTCCAAATCAAAGAAGAAAAGATTTTTGATTGTTTACTACAACAATAGAAATAGAAAGGTATGTAATTCTTAATTTGTTTGTCTATTTCAAAAATACCTAGGGTTCATAGGTTTCTTGTTGTTCAATAGAATGTGAGTTCAATAAAGTTATGACATAGATATAATGGGTTGCATGTACCCTTAAGTGTTAATGATTTATCCATGTTATTTCATGTAAAACCCATCAAAGAATGCATGTTAAACCCACAGGTCATGTAAAACAAGTGCCTCTAATTTAACAATCATCACCCCATGATTACCTCGTGTGAGTTGACCTCGCCATGCATTGGAACAATTTGCCAACTCCCAATGTGTACAATCAAGGCTACAAAGCATTTATGGAAAACCATGTTTAGCTTGATGTACGACATACAACGTTCGACATCGCTTTTAATCGGATGTCACAAGTATATGTCACAGTAAAGCTCTATAACATACTCAAAAACACATTCTCGACTCGTCCTCTCAGGCATATTCAAATACTCATCTGATGTGTATGCGACTATGATGTATGCCAATTATCTAAGAGTTGTGCATTTTTTAATTGTAGTAAAACCACGTTTACCTCTAGCATCCCATCTCAATTGGAAAAAAAAAGCATAGTTGTTTGCCAAATATCTAGCTATACGTGGGAATAAATTTCTATTAATACGAAAATGTTCTTCTAATTTTGATAGGTCGTATAAACATTAAGGACAAAGTAATCACATACCAAAAGGCGGAGTGTCGCGATACGATCTCACTTAATCGAAATTCTACGCTTCTTCTCGACATCTGAACTTTCGCCTCTTTGTTGCCCCATGTCGCGTGCTACAGATAACATGTGCAAAATCGACTCATCATCAGAATCATCATTATCGGATGAAAAAAAAAGAATTTGAACCTAAAAAGTTATCCATATTATTGAAACTATGTTTGTTAGATGTAAAAATATGTAAAAGTTTATGCATATAGAGAGTAATTTTAAATTTGAAAGAACTTTTTTAATGTTGCAACTACTACAAACAATCAAAAAATAAGGCAATCAATAATAAACATCGTCTTCCTTTATTTTCGTAAACACTCCATAGCCAAACCACTGGACCATGGGGAGGTGTTCATGCTTCTCTTGGCATGCCAACTCGAAACTCACGCATCCTTTGCTATCTTATACCGGATAGCTTTATTTGATCTTACCATTATGTGAGAAAAGAAAGTGAATCTGGTTGGTGATAGGGTGTTGGTGTTATGATGTGGTCTTGTTATTTCTTTACTTTTTTAGAATTAATTAAATATGTAATAATAATTAATAAATAAGAAAAAGGTATTTCAACCATATTATGTTGGTTAGGGACGAAATGTTGGTTAGGGACGAACACTATAACAAAATAAAACAAAAGGATCATCTGTGCAAAAATAATAATAATAAAATAAAATAAAATAAAGAGTTATGATTTTTTATAAAGTATATGACCATTTATGTAATTTATTTTAAAAATTATTAGAGATTGCTAATATCGACAATATAAACAGTCAAATGTCAACTTTAGCCCGCGATATTATTATTAAGTTGAAAAATGGTCAAAATCAACGACAATAAGTAGCAGTTTGTCCTTCAACGTAAAAGTTTCAAATGCTATAAATCCGTACAAACTCCCATCCTCCATTTCCGATTTTCAACTTCATTTCCACTCTGTGAAAACCCTTACCTTCAAATCTCTTACCATCATCTCTTTTTTCCTCGTCCGGCGTAAAGTTTTATAAGGTGACGATGATGGACTCGTCTCTCCGGAGACTGGCAACGGCGACGGCCGGATTGAAGTTCCTCACGGTTACTCTATTTCTATTGCCGTTTCTGTATGATTTCAGATCTGCCGCTCAACTTCTGCCTGCAGAAGAAGGTCTACTCCTCTTTTGATTCGTTCGCTTGTAATTTTAAAGTATCAATCGATTTGTGTTATCTTTGTTCTGATATGGAGTTACGTTTGAAAAAAAATGGATTAGTCGAAAAAGTTTTCTCGATCCTTGAACCTTGACTTTCAACCTTATCCTGTGTTATCTCTCTAACCTGTCATTAGTACTGATATCCCACATAAACTCCTATAATGCCAATTTGATCGAAGATGCAGAAATCGTTAATGAGTAAAAAGTACAACAAGCAAACATTCCATAATCCATAGACTTCGTTTGAGATTTCCTTCTGTTTCATAAATCGTAACTTACTATTCGTTTCTTCTTCTTCATTAATTTGTTTCCTTATTAGAGAATTATTGTAGACTTACACGGTGGATATTTAATGTTTTCATCACCTACTCTTTCATTTATATCTCGAACAGTACATTAAAATGAATTATTAGTATAACTGTAAAAGGCTACAAAAGCAAATACGTATCTTGCATTATCTTGTTGTGTCTAGTTGTCGTCTTCTTCTTCTTCGTTTTTGCCTGTTGGATTATTTATAATATTAATATATTAATATTAATATTAATTTTAATATAATCCCTAGCTAACAGTTCAAAACCGATTTTGTTTTGATTTATATGGACTGGACACCATTTTAAGCTTGAATATGTCAACAATTGACTAACCGGTTGAGTGGCCGGCGTCAGCTATTTTTGTTTGGCCGTGGGTCATAAATGTAAATTTACAGTGACGATGGCGTATAATGGTCAAACATGATATATTAAAAAAATGCCTATTCTGATCGAACTTCCAATATTTTGAAAAAGAAGTCAGAGTAAAAATCGAATCAATCAATGCAAAAACTGTATATTATATTATAAATTTATAATCTTCTTCTATTAAAATATATATCGAAGCAAAACATGCAATGCCATGTTTAATGACCTAATGACAATAAGGCTTTTAGTTTGACATAAAGGTTCAATTTTACTGTGTTGCATGTTACCGGTTCGTTAAAGCTATTTGTAATTCTTTTTTTTTTTTTTTTTTTACGGAACATGTCTACCAAACTTAAGGGTTTAATGAACCAAAAATACAAAAAATGGTCAAATTGAAAAAAAAAAAGTTGCAAACTTCTGGTTGTAATGAACCAAAAATATGTAAAAAGGATAAAACCAAACATTCTGCAAAACTTAGATGCTTTTATGTTATTAAACCATGTTTAATCATCTTTCTATTAGCTTGTTTGATAGCCCACCCACACATGTGGGTAGGTATATTTATATTATAAATTTATAATCATATCGGATGAGATCAACTTAATTGGTAATATTTTCTATAAACATATGTGCCAAGATTGTCTCTCCAAAAGAGCCCTTGTGGAGAGTAGTGTAACTCCAACATATATAGTCTAAATTTTAGAGATAAGTAAACAGGTAAAAGATTACCTGATATAACATAAACTTTAAGATTTCAATACAAAAATCGGATATTGCTAATTCTTCCAATTAAGCAAGGGACAAATATTTAATTTCATATTACTAACATGATGGATTTTGTAATCTAGAAAAATAAATAAATTTGTGCTGATTTATGATCTACAACAGTTGAAGCTCTACAGTCGATAGCATCAAGTCTACAATACAACAATTGGCGGGTTTCTTCAGATTCATGCAGCGGAGGTGGAGGGCTTAATAACACAAATTCCGATAATGGGCAAGGGCTTATGAGATTCGGCAGCAATGTAACCTGCAGCTGTAACAGCACTGTTTGCCACATTACACGCATGTACGAATCTGTCTTTTTTTTATCCACACGACATTTTTATATGTTTTTTCACTAATACTTTCGAGTATTTTATGTCAAATATCAGCCAGTTAAAGGGACTTAATTTGACAGGAGTTCTACCTGAAGAATTTGCAAACCTCACTTTTCTGCAAGAAATGTAAGTCAACATATTCAACTTTTTATCAACCGGACTTAGTTTCTAGCTTTTTGCATTCAATATAACGTTTATCAAAACGGCTTTACCCGATTGAAAACGGGTCGGGCAGGTAATTCGGGTTTCGGTTATTTTCAAATCGCCTACTTCCATAGGCATGGTCCATTCCACTCTCTTGCCATCAATGTTGGACAACTACTTTTTTTTTTTTTATTTTTTTTTTTTTTATTTTAGCCAAATCTCAATAGTTCATCATGGCGACATAGTTGGATAAATCTATATGTCTTCCATTGAAAAAAAGTGAGCAAGTGATTTTATGTTGTCACACAGAGATCTCTCCCGCAACTATATCAATGGAACAATTCCAGCACGTTTTGGTCAGCTTCGCATAACCATCTTGTAAGACTTACCTACCCTCTTTTTTCCCTTTTAAAACGTATTCCTGACACTTCTTTCTTTACAGAAGTCTTTTGGGAAACCGCATTAGTGGTCCAATACCAAGAGAGATAGGTGACATCTCTACACTTGAGGAGCTGTAAGTAAAATCTTAATTTATATCCAATACGTGTATAATGAATGTATCATAAATTTCACTACTCTTACATCTGAGACCTAATTATAACAGGGTCTTGGAAGACAATTTGCTTTCAGGACAGCTTCCTTCAAGCCTTGGTCGTTTGACTCGCTTGAGAAGAATGTAAGACTATTTAATCCTGATTCCACTTGCCTGTTGTCATTTATTACTTGTCTCATTGAAAGTTCTCCCTTGCAGCCTTCTTTCTGCAAATAATTTTACAGGAACTGTTCCAGAATCGTATGGAAATCTCACTAATCTAGAAGATTTGTAAGTAGTAGTGATGTTTATATTCTTTTTAGCTAAATAGACTTACTTGGTCATTATCCTGGTGACTTAAAACTTTTTTACAATACTTGCAGTAGGATAGATGGGAGTACATTATCAGGGAGAATACCTAGCTTTATTGGAAACTGGACAAGGCTCATAAGACTGTGAGTATATTATCTTGCTTTTCTCGTTCCTAGTTTTATAAATCTTTTCAATTTTCCAAATATTTCTGGTTTTTCATTTTAATAAAAAAATCATTTATCATGCAGTGATTGGCAAGGAACATCGATGGAGGGACCTATTCCTTCTACAATATCTCTGTTGACAAACTTACAAGAATTGTGAGCCGACTTCGTGTCAAAAAATTTAACTAATTTTTCATCCACGAATGAAACTTACTTTAATTTTGCATTTTGGTTTTCAGGAGGATAACTGATTTGACTGGACCAAGTACAAACTTTCCCAATCTGCAAAATCTGACACGGATGGTTAGACTGTAAGTTGATTTCATGTCAAAATTTTACTTATTAATAATTTCATATAGAAACTTGACATTATTTTTTTAATTAATTTTGCTGCAGGCATTTGAGAAATTGCTTGCTCACAGGTTCAATACCTGAGTACATAGTACAGATGAGTGGCATGAAAAACCTGTGAGTCATATAACAACACCAATCTAAATGACTAAATTCAAGCAGAATTTTTTGCTAAATATGGAGTTTTAAAGAAATATTTAATCATACTTGTAAATTTATCTTTTTGCAGAGACCTAAGCTTCAACAGGTTGACTGGTACAGTACCCGATTCAATTGGAAGGCTGAGTTTCGACTCTGTGTATGTAACTAACTAATTACAAGATTTGGTCAAATTGCCTGCATGTTTTCATTTTTCAGTTAAATTTGAAATGGAATATTTTCAATAAATTCAGGTTTTTTAATAACAACTCGCTATCTGGAGACATCCCAGGATGGGCATTCGCTTTCAATAACAGAAAGATGTTAGTGATTCCCTTTCGTCAATCAACATTACTTCATGTATTTAAATATGGTTACAATATCATTAAATATTTTCTTTCTGCAGTGATTTATCCTACAACAATTTTACACAGTCACAACAAAGGAACTGTCAGCCATCTAGCTTGTAAGTTTTATTTTCTTTACCAAATAAAAACATTCTCTTTCTTCCTTCACTTACACTTTCAATCCATTCACAGGAATCTAGTTTCTGCCCTTTCACCTACAGAAGCAAGCAACTCGTATGTTTCTATTCCCAACCTAAAACAATATTGTTTATTTTTTATTTTGTTAAAACATGAATTTATCTCGCAGAAATTCTTGGTGTATGACAGACGGACTTACATGCAGCCGAAACCCCAACCGTAAAACAATTTTTTTTTTTTCAATTACCTAATATATATATACCAATTGCACAAAATCTCAAGAGAAGCATCTCACATCTTGATCGCAGGTTATGAATTATATATCAATTGTGGTGGAACGAGTTTAGATTTTGAGGGAAATGAATACGAACAAGATTTGACCGATGAGCAGTCGTACTTTAATCCTTCGGGTGAGAGATGGGCTTATAGCAGCAACGGTGTTTTCATGGGCAATGATAACGCTCCATTTGTCGCAAGAACTAACAACGTCATAGGTGGCGATGTATACAGATCCGCCCGTCTTTCTCCTACTTCCCTTAGATACTATGGACTCTGTTTGAGATCCGGTAGCTACAAAGTCCGACTCCACTTTGCTGAAATAATGTACTCAGATGATATGACATTTAGCAGCCTGGGAAGGCGCATTTTCGATGTCTCAATTCAAGTGAGTCACAACTCTGTTTTTTTTTTTGTATAATTTGATGGGTGAATTAGTTGGGAATGTAATTTGGTGTTTTTACATAGGGGGATCTGAAACTGAAAGATTTTAACATAGTGGAAGCAGCTAATGGTACTGGAAGGGGAATCTATAGAGATTTTGATAATATTATTGTTAATGGGAGCACGATAGAGATACATTTGTATTGGGCAGGGAAAGGGACTACTGCAATTCCAGATCGAGGTGTATATGGTCCTCTTATATCAGCCATCACAATAACACCAAGTTAGTAAATTATCCTTTATGAAGATAAAAGTTATATATACTTGTATATAAAAGACCAAATAAAGAACAAAAAAGTGAAAAGATAAGAGCGATTCTAACATATTTATTCTCCTTCCATGTAGACTTTAAGGTTTCAACAGGTGGCCTATCTGCCGGAGCTATAGCTGGAATTGTGATTGGTTGTTGTGCATTTGTCCTGTTGATTTTAGCTGTTCTTTGGAAGCTAGGTTATCTAGGAGGTGACAAAGAAGACAAAGGTTAGTACACTAACTTTCAAGAGCCATTAGTGTTTTTAATTAAACTCAAATCTTTCTGCTATACTGTATAGTAGGTTTATTATCTCTAATAATACGTATGTGTCTTGTTTACAGAACTTCGAGCTCTTGAATTACAAACGGGTTATTACAGTCTACGACAAATCAAAGCTGCAACACATAACTTTGACTCCGCAAACAAGATTGGTGAAGGTGGGTTTGGACCTGTTTACAAGGTAAGCCAAATTATATCACAAATACCCAAACATGTCGCATTACGTTAACCTCAAAAGTTCTATTCTAACTTTTTCCATATGTAATTTTGACTATATATAATATAGGGCGTACTCACAGATGGGTCCACAATCGCTGTTAAGCAACTCTCCTCAAAATCAAAACAAGGAAACCGAGAATTTGTGACCGAAATAGGCATGATATCCGCTTTACAACATCCAAATCTCGTTAAACTTTACGGGTGTTGTATAGAAGGAAACCAATTGTTACTGATATATGAATACCTTGAAAACAATAGCCTTGCACGTGCTCTTTTTGGTAATTAAGCACTTATTCTCAATTTCTCACATCTTATTATTGTGGTGAATTGTTGATGGATGATGATTTTTTTTTTTTTTTTTTTTTTGACATAACAGGTAAAGAAGACCAGCGGCTTAATTTAGACTGGAAAACAAGACAAAAGATATGCACACAAGTGGCTAAAGGGTTGGCTTATTTACATGAGGAATCGAGGTTGAAAATTGTTCACAGAGACATAAAAGCTACCAATGTGCTTCTTGATAAGGACCTTAATGCCAAAATATCAGACTTTGGTCTTGCCAAACTTGATGAAGGAGAAAACACTCATATTAGCACACGGATCGCTGGAACAATGTGAGTAGTATGTTTAAGTACTGCTGTTTTTCATTCATATATATATTTTTTATTTATTATTAATTTAATTGGATTTGCAGAGGATATATGGCTCCAGAATATGCTATGAGAGGATACTTGACGGATAAAGCAGATGTTTACAGCTTTGGAATTGTTGCTTTAGAGATTGTGAGCGGGAAAAGTAATACAAATTACCGGCCAAAAGAGGAGTTTGTCTACCTTCTTGATTGGGTAATTTAACTTCCAAACTTTTCTTTTTTATTTCCTTTCCTTGTGGGTCCCATTTATCTAATAAAAACCTACGATGTGTGATATTTAAAGAAATAAGACAATTAAACTCAATGTTTTAAAACCCGGGTTTTTAGTTGACCCGGTGTGATGATCGGTTTACGGGTCAACCGGTCAACCCGGTGTGATGACCGGTTCACGTATAAAAAGTATTAATTATAAAAAATATTACCATATTTAAATATGAAATGCATTTATTATGAAGATTATTAATACATTTCACATTTAATTAATGTTTTTTATATTTAATTATGGTTATATTTGTCATACTTAATACTTCTTATATGTACCCTCAGGGCACATGTTAGAAAATCTTTTAAAAAAATATAAAAAATGGTAAAGTTGTCAAGTATGTAGATATAGAAAAAGATAGATAAAAATATTCTATGATAGCTATATTTATTTGTCTTTCATATTGATGTCATTTCAATTATGTTAACGAAAGTTCTTTTATGATATATATTTTGTTACAGAAAATATATATACAAAAAAAAAAAAAAAAACGGAAATGCGATTAAAAGTGAGGGTGGGATAAAATAAAAATATGAGAATTATTCATCTGGTTCGTTCTCTAAGGTCCTAGAACAATAAATAAAAGGAAATACTAATATTGGGAATTTGGGATGTTCTTAGGAAAACTTTTATGTTTTTTGAGTTTTTCTTTTTTACAAAAAATATAATAACCTTTCCTATGTGTGTTGGTTAACTTGAAGGCCTATGTTCTACAAGAGCAAGGAAATCTACTGGAACTTGTGGACCCCATACTCGGTTCACATTATTCTAAAAAGGAGGCAATGAGAATGTTGGACGTGGCCCTACTATGCACGAATCCATCACCATCACTCAGGCCCGCCATGTCAGCGGTGGTGAATATGTTGGACGGGAAGATTCCGGTTCAACCATCAGTGGTGAAACGGAATGGAATGGATGATGCCATGAGGTTTAGAGCCTTTGAAATCATATCACAAGATAGTCAAACTCAAACACGCTCTTCTATTATATCGCCCGAAAGTCAACTCCCACGGAGCACCACTATAGATGATCCATGGGTAGATTCATCTGTGTAGAGAATGTTGTTATTCTTTCTCATGATTTGTTGTTGTGAAAATATGTTTGTAAATTGCATATATGAGTTTCATCAATGTTTTTCTAAATTTCTGAAATATTTGTAGAAAATGGAACATACATTGGAAAAATGTGAAATTTTGCTCTGTATAAATCTCTTGATTTTAAAAGAACAAAGATATAATTTAGCACATAATCGCTATGCACAAGAAAGGAAACGGCTATTGATCGATTCTCCATAAACAAGAATGATAATGAAAAAACAGAATGATCTTTCACTCCCCTTCAAGTTGGAGTGTGAAGGTTACAAATCCCCAACTTGTGAACAAGGAAATGGATACAGGTTGTTCGTAAGGCTTTCAAGAAAAGGTCAGCATGATTTGCGAAAATTTTGCGTGGTAATATTTCTTTGGATTCAAACCCACTCTCGAACAAAATAACAATTCATTTCAACATGTTTCGTTCTCTCGTGAAAAAATGAAGAACCCCAATGTGGTTTCTTAGGTTTTATTATTTGATCAGAAGTTGCTTTTCAAAACATAAGCCAAGAATATTTATAAAACTATAAAACCTAAACAAAGTAGGAATCTAGATAAAGATTAAAAGTAAGATAAGACTAAAAGTAAGACAAAACCAGGAAGAGAAGAACTCAGATGAGCTGTATATGATATGATATCCTTTCCTCCCCGTTAAGTTGGAGCGTGAATGTTGCGAACGCCTAGCTTGTTAAGAAGATAACGAAACTTGTCAGTACCAAGAGGTTTGGTGAAGAGATCTACAACTTGTTCATTAGTGCTGATAACATAGGTTTGAATTTGACGAGACTCAATGTGTTCACGTACAAAAAAACAATCTATCTCTACATGTTTGGTGCGTTCATAGAAGACTGGGTTGTTGGCAATATGTCTTGCTGCCTGGTTATCACATTAAAGAGAGTCAAACCTAATTGGGGGAGGCTAAATCTTTCAATAACCAACAAATCCATAAGATTCCACTGGTAGTGGAAGCCATGGCTCGATATTCAGCCTCTACAGACGACCTGAAGACAACCGATTGTTGCTTTGTTTTCCAGGAAAGAGGAGCACCTCCTAAAGTAAGATTTCCGATGGAAGGTAAAAAAAATGCCTTGACCTAGGGTAGCTTTGAGATAATGAAGTATGTGAAGAGTAACATCAAAATGAAGTTGTCGAGGAGCAGGACGCCCACTAAAAGACAAAATGGTCTGAAACTAAAAAGATACCCGCGTCCAAACTCAATTTCCTTTGATTTTTTACTTAAACCATTAAGTAAAAGGTTCCAAATCTCGGATTTGAATCATAAAAGTGTCTAGATGGATAAAGTTTCAAACTTTATCCATTAAGATGCTCCAAAGAAGAAAATCTAAAACCCTAACTTATAAAATGTCCAAAAATGCACCTTTCTACATGCGTGAAGCAAAGAGAGCTCTTACATGCACTCTTTACTCCATCAAATGATCAAACCTATACTTAAACTTGAATAAAAGCTTATGGAGTTCTTCAAACTCAAAGGACCAAGCCATAAAGGGACCAAAACTCATTAAAATGAACCAAAAACACCATTAACTCTTAGATTTATGGATGAAGTGAAATAAAGTTTGGATATTTATTACTTACAATGGTCCAAAAGTAGTATGGGGCTGATTACTTTAGGTGCAAGGCTTTAATAGCCAATCTTTCTTGATTCCTTCACTCTAGAACCACATAACACACTAAAATGGATACAAAACCCTTCAATGGAGGCTAGGGTTTCACAAGGGTCATTCAAAGGGTAAAGAAGGTTGTGAATGACGAAAACTTACGAGTTTGTACCCCTTAAATACACACAAAACCCTAAAAAACGACATAAACCCATGGGCTGGGACGCACCACGTCCTTTAATTGGACGCTCTGCGTCCCCCAATTTTTCAATTTTTTAGATTTCAGATAAATAAGCAGTTTAAGTCACAAAACAATATACATATCGAGAACTCAAGTGCTACAATGGGAAGAAAAATTGCAATATAATTTGTTTTGTAAATGCAATTTTGAATGACACAAATCTTCTTTGAAAGATTCACGACATCTATTTAATTTTAATTTTAATTTCTACATTAACTAGAAAATATTTTTTTACAATATTATTTAATTTTAAAAGTTTTAATTATGTTTAATTTTTTATTTTTAAATTGGCCATACTAGAATTTCATATGCTTCAACCTTAGAGTGGTCTATTGTTCTATAAAAATATTTTTGAAACTAAAAGTCATTATTAATAATAAAAAATAATACGAAAAGTAGTGTTAAGACTAAACTTAATATTTACATTTAATATAACAAAAAAATTTGTATGGGGATCGATTCCATTTCTACATACTAATAAACATGATCATGGATTGTGATGACTTGTTCCATTCCTTCTTAATTCCATTCTATTTAACCAAAAATACCCTATGAAATTAAGGGGAAATGGAATCCAATTCCAACACATTTCTATGTTTGGTTCAACTTTTGAAATGAATTGAAATCCTAAATAAGATAAACTTTCCATTGTGTGTGTGTTGGGGGGGGGGGGGGGTTCATTCGATCAAGAGAATGAAGGAAATAAATTCCAATTCATTAAGGAAAAGTGCAGGATTAATATATTACCCTCTTTATTTTTAACACTACATATGAAAACCCTATTAGCTAAAATCAATCGACCCTCACCACCATCATCATTGCTGCCACCACCAACCCCACCGACACTATCATTTCCACCACCCTCCACTACATCCTCCTCCTCCATCACCACCACTGTTACCACCTTCATCACCACCCACTACCAGCCAATAACACCACCACCACCACTTCCTCCACCACCCACCACCACCATTTTCTATTTTTATAATCTACCTATCTGATAAAATAGTACATTTTGCCACATGTCATTTTCTGAGCCCCTCCCAACATTCTAAGTGAAATGACTAAACTACCTTATTCTAAATTTTACTTGTATCCTATTCAAATTCATCAGTATTAATACAATTAATTTATTTCCACATTTTTAAAAGGGATAATGACTTAAAAGGGTAATATATTTTTTGATTTGTATATATTTGGTCACCGAGTTTTTTTTCATCTATATTTTCCCTTTCAACTTGTTAAACTGTACACATTCAGTCCTTATGACCGGTTACTTCAGGTTAACCGGAAAAAAAAATGATTTAATAGGATAATATATTTTTCATTTTGTATACATTTAGTCCTTAATATTTTTGTACACATTTAGTCCTTAATTTTCTTGTTTTAAAATATGTCCTTTTTGTTTTTGTACTTATTTAGTACTTATTAATGATCTTTTTAGGTTTTTCTCATGATATCTTACGTGAGACAATCATTGATGAGGTGCTTGGTTGCCTAGGTTTTGTGGTTTGGCTTATATCTTGTGTTCTGAACATCGTAATTGTTGAGTTATGAGCAAAACATCAATCCTATGGTGCACATGTAAACCCTAAAGCTTTAGATCTAGGTTTTTCTGTAACACCATAAAAATTTGAACAATTTTTCACTTTTGAAAAACCATGAAATATAGTTTGCATTCATAAATAAAAACATTGTATCAACATTGTATCAGTACAAAACCCCAAGATCAAAATACTTAAACTCCAGTGTGCATGTGTACGAGTCATGCCGGCGCCTTCCCGCGATCATCGCTAGTACCTGAAACACATAACACATAACTTGTAAGCATAAATGCTTAGTGAGTTCCCCAAAATACCACATATATCACGTACGCCTTTCCAGGCCATAGGACCTTCTGATCCAAGTGTCTCAGGGGATTTCCATCCCAGACTCGGTTGACCTTCCGGTACGTATCATCTTGACCTTCCGGCCCACATCATGCTCATATCACATAACATATCACATATAACTTACATCGCATATACATCATACACATAAGACCCTTCGGTCACATACAATTACCCCATCGGGTAAGGCATAGTGAGAAGACTCACCTCAGACGTCTCGTAAATCTCTGACTCGGTAGAAGTATTGCCTAGCCTCCGCTTATTCATACAAAGTAAATACCCTCATAAACATAACACTCGAGGCTAGACTCGACCATCTATTGTCATCCTCAGAAGGGTAAAAGACTATTTTACCCCCTCTTGACTCAAGGACCCCATTGTTGACCAAACCCTAATAGTCAACAAAAGTCAACGGTCAACTTTGACCCAACTCGCCGAGTGCACTCCGGTGACTCGACGAGTACACACATGTCCACTAACTCTCTGTCCCGCTTGGTACATCGAGTCCTATCCTATGCTCGACGAGTCACACCTGGCATGAATCGCGGGGCTATCCCGACTCAACTCGCCGAGTCTCAAGAACAGCTCGGCGAGTATCGCCTTGAACTCCAGTCTTTTAACCCCCTTCTGACTCACTGAGTTATCCCTAACTCGGCAAGTCTATTCACTGAGTGATCTGCATGGACCTTAACCCTACTCACCGAGTCCCAAGAACAACTCGGCGAGTTCATGCCATGCACAAACTCTATTGATCTCCTGTGGTCAGATATGTGCCCCTAATCCATAGATCTGGCCTTCCTAAGCATAAGTGTCACGTAAAGTCTGAATCTTGATGCTTATAACTCAACCAATAAGCATCAAATGATGATTTTGTCCCAAATACCTTAACCCAAGGTCATGACCTCCATTATTCTCCATAAAGCTTGAAGAATAAGGTTCTCTGAACCTCTATGGGTCCAGGTACAAAGCCTCATCTCCAGAAGGGACTATTTGGACCTCAAATCAACTTAGTTAAGGGTACAAGAAACCCTAAAACCACATATCCTTCCCAAAACAGAAGAAGAGTCGAAATAATACCTCAAATGAATGATCTTAGCTTTTAGTCCTTATAATAGCAACCTCCTTTGCTTTCCCTTGGCTAGAACCTCCTTCTTCTTACTAAATGACACCACAAAGATCAACAATGGTTACTCCTTGCTTCCTAAACGATCTGAGACTCTCTCTCTCTGGGGGTAGTAGCCACAATGGACGGCCATAAGGGCCTTTAAATAGGTCCCAATCCCTGGAAATTGGGGCTTCACTAAACAGCGTGGACTCGCTGAGTCCGATCATGAAATAGAATGAACATCCGCATCCTTACTCGGCGAGTCTTGGCACCAACTCGCCGAGTTCCTCCACACTC